GTTAGACCCAATAAAAAAAAATTAATAGTTTATCATCCTATCTAGGCTGGAAAAGTGATGAGTGATGGAGGCTTTACTAAAGCCAAATTACCCTAAGTTGTTTGCTGGTGCATTGATATCTAAAGTAAAATACATGATTGAGATAATACAAACAATATTAATTAACAAGTAAGCATTTTAGGTTTTAAGTGATAAAAAAAAAAATTTAAAAATGTATTTCTTTTCCAATACTATAGTAGACATGCGGGTAAGAGTGGTAAACTAATATGCTTTTATTGCACCATACGAGTAGAGGCCAAAAACAACCTACTCTCTGATTTACTTTTACATGCAACATCTATCTTAACTCCTTTGAATTATATAAAATATGAATATAAAAGCATAATCTTCCATTGCACAGATTACAAGGCATTTGAAAAAATAAAACCTTTATGATAGGCAATTTAGGCTAAGCGTATTCATTGCAACCAATGTTGGTACCCAAGAGTACAATTGGACTATCAATGCATTAGAATAAGAAATCTCAGGCGACGTGGCAGAAGACATCAGTTTCTTCACAATAATTACAAGTACATCGATAAAAATATGCCATCAAACAAAGAAAGTGAATAAATAAATATGTAATTATATAAATTAATACATTAATTAAATACATTATTATTACTGTATTAAGAAATAAAACAAACAAATTTAGTGTACACATTTAATCCAACTGTAAAACAATTGTTTTGACTTGATTTTCCTTAAACTCAGGAATAAATTAAAGCCTAAGTTCACAAAAATTTCAAAAACTATTGAAAAATGTGGCCATGTGATTCGTGATTGATGGTTAATCTTGCCAAGCAAAAATAAACCGCTGACTCAAATTAGTCACACCAATAAGAGGAAGATCACAGCAAAGAAAACAGTTTAAGGCAGTCAAGTGAAATAATAACAGTTCAATATGGAAACGTATGGACATTATCCAAATACAATTATTATGTTAATAACTGACAATAAAAACACACACATCTGCATATCTTGATGTGTATGATTAATTCTTATTTAAATATTCACTACGTAGTTAAAAATATTTTTAAAAATAAATAAAATTATAGATATTGCATGCGTTCAATTTTTATACAACAATCTATGCTTACAATGATCTGGGGAAAAAAACCTGGAGAAAAAAGAAATTTAGTTTTTATTGTGGCAAAAAGAAGACTGCAAGCAGAGAATATTCATCAGCTAGGTACTGAAAAAAAAATTTAAGGTGAAACTTCTAATACAAACAAAGGAAGCAAAAATTCACTGCAAGACTGAAACTGACCTCCAAGGTACTAAACATACAGATGAAACAAAAAGATTTACATATCAAGGCTTACAGACTAGTACTGTACTGTATTCAAACTGCATAATTCCAAATCATTAGCAAATAATAGAACTTACAATGGTG